TTCCCACTTAAACAAAATTTACGTATTTTTAAACTAACAACCAAAAAAAACTCCTGAATAAGTAAGCACCAAACTCCCGGAATTACTGTAACAATTTGTGAGGATTGAAATACATTGCTCTCTCCAAATCAAGACCATCTCGAAATCAATTTTTTTTTTAAATTCCTGAGACATGGTCTCTTAATAATGGTTGACTGTATTGTACTGAAGCAAATCAGTTTACTGGGGTCTGAATATGGATCCTTAACATAGAAGGTCCATGGTCTCTTAATTTGAGTATGCACTGTCAAAAGATGAGATTAATATATAATTACAGTGAAAAAATATATATTATATACTATTATACATCCTTAGCTATTTGATAATTATTTTATCTGCTGTATTTTTTTAAAAATGAGAATGGGATTCATAATATTTGATTGCCTGTTAATTAGTTCCTCCACCTGCTTCTTACTCATCACCATAATTCAAATTGGTTGCTGATGAAAGCAAATCTCATTGGTGAAATCATAGGAGGTATAAATGTGTCATTAAAGTACAAGCGATTTTTCTTAGAAATATCTTCATCCAGTTAACTCATTGAGGCCAAGAGTTGTTTATTAAAGTCTGTAGTTGAAAAATATTTTTCCTTGAAATTAACATATGGCAAGACTTTTTTATATCTTTTTTAATGATTGTATGTTTTTTTAAAGATGTCAAAGGAGCTCGGGAAAATTTTTTTTTAAATTTGTTTTATTTAGCAAATGGTTTTGCCAAATGCATCCAGGTGAAGGAGAAAATAAAACATTTTTTTAGTTAATGTAGACAGTGTAGTAATGGGATTGATAAACGCAAATGTATAGAAATAAGGAAGAAATATAGATCTTATTTTTGGAACATTTCAAGGCAGTGGCAGGGCGTAATAAAAATAAATACAAAAATTAATTTTTTCGTGGCAATGGGTCTGCTAACTGGGCAGAAATTTAATTTTTATTCAAAATCATCTTTATTTAAACAAGGTATAAAAAAATCTTGCCTAGGCATGGATAATACTGTTTCTAGGTTCTTTGTTGAGATCCTTAAATAGGTTAGTTATGTCTCCTAGGAAGTTCATAACAGTTATTTAGAAATTTTAAATGAGTAATTAAATGCTTTGAATGTTTTAAAATGAAATGTTTTACTGCAGAACCAAAGTAATTGTAAGAAAAAACTAATATAACATAATGAAAACTTTCAGTCATCTGCTCGCTTAACGGTTCATTGCGCACCTGAACACAGTGAGTCAAAATGGGACTCCTTTTTCTCACAAAATCGACTATATAATTTGTGGCAATCTGGGGTGATCCGATTATAAAACTAGATGTTTTAAGCTTTATAATCATCTATATATTCTTACAACTAATGCAAAATTGAGTGATCGTTTTTTTTGTTATACTTCCTGCTTCTTCTTAATAACATAACTGCAACATAGGTCATCTAACTTTGGGGTGAATGGTCAAGTGTAGCTCATAAATTAAGCTTTGTTGCCATGCAAGTCTCATGCTGATTGGTTAAAATTTTGTATTCAGAACCATTTTTACCCTCTCTAGGAATGATGTCACACACTTTAAGCCAATAACAGCTACGAATTTCGAGTTTTCTGCGGTTAGTGCTTTCATGCATAAGATGTATGTCAAATTTACCTGACTGAGCTTTTGACAAAAATAGGGGAAAAGTTTTCATTATGATTGCTATTATAAATAATTATAATTACTATTATTGTAAGCATATGTATTGTATTAAGAAGTACTTTATTCCATGTACTGTATTCCAAATGTAGTGCTTTAAAAAAATGAAATAAAGTTTGAAAACATAAGTAAACATGTTCACTTTTATTTCTATTGTTTACCTTAAATATTAGGCTTCTAAACTGTCATCTACTATATCATAAATGCTCGAATAATAATAATAATAATAATAATAATAATAATAATAATAATAATAATGTCATTTTATTAGGCGCACGTATCCATCTCTTGGTAGAGCTGCTCAAGGCGCCGTTTTCAACCTGCAGAGTGTACATGTAGCCTTTTTTCTGCCTTATTATCTTGGATTAATTAATTTTATTTAAATTATTTATTTATTTATTCCCTAAAATTTGTCTTAATCAGTGAAAAGGCTTAAAAATAAATTGATTTTGGCACCAATGGCATTCCATATTACTTATTTGCATGGCGTTTCATAGTATACTATTTCTGGGATCTAATTCGCATCAAAATGTTTCTTGACATAAACTCTCCGAAATTTTGCTAATACTACGAAAAATCAATAAATTAGAGACTTGTGGCAAGTCTAATAAGTGAGTAGCGCAAATTTTAATGTAAGCATTGAAATTTTAAAATTTAGTGGAAAAAGACGGGCACATGCAGGGGCAGATCCAGCGATGTCCAAAAGTAGGGCCGATCCAGATAACATCCCCCTAGTGGGTCTGTGGGATGCCCAGCGAAATTTCGGTGCTCTAGACGCCTGAAAATAACCTCCGAGGTGCTTTGGGAGATCAATTTTTTTTTTCTTTCTTTTCTATCTTCCCTTTTTCTTGCTTGCCAAAAGTGGGAGCCGGGCCTGGCCCCTGCATGTCCCCTACTGGATCCGTGCCAGAGTGTGGACAGCTTCAGTTACAGGCCAAATGTTAATGCTACATCAGATATTCTTTTTTTAGTGTTTATAAATTTTGCATTTATTTGGCTGGTTTCCCTCAAGAATATCATTTTGGATTGATAGAAGGAACAAAAAGATTGTTGTGAGTTCAAGATTAAGTTAAGTCTAAGAAGTAGTTGGGAAGGAGCTGATACATCTATTGCTCATGGGCAGTTATGGTGGATTCTGATATTTAGCATTAGTTCTCTATCAGGTTGGCAGAAATCCAAGTATGTCACCATTTGCTTTCCTGTTTATTGTAGCTACCTCTCTGAATCAGCCAAGGTAATCGTATAAATCTTCCAAATCAGCAAACTGTGCAAATCCAAATACTTTTATAGTATTATATTTTAGAAAGGTGATTCCAAAACCTTCGATTTGAAGATCCACATACCATAAGTAACTAACTCTCCCAACTAGAGTACATGACGAATATTTCAAAATAGCCACTTTACTTTTCTGTGGTTTTTTGCACAGTAAGCTTTGCGACTCACTTGCAAATAAGTCTATGACTAACTCTGAATCTCAAACGAAAACAATTAAACAATTTAAATACAGTTCACCCTCCAACGTAAGACCTCTCTAATTCGAGACCAATATTTCAAAGTACCAACAATCTTCAATTTTTGAACACAAAAGCTTACCCTCTACCCCGAGACCACCCCAACTTTTTAAGGTCTCAATGGTATTAGGATTTTTACATATCTACATTAAAAAATCATAATCCACTTTTATTGGTAAAATCATGTTTTATTATCATCAATATCATATTCACAAATTTTTGATTGCAAATACACCAACTCTAAGCATTTGAGCTAGGAGCTTAAGCTATGTATGTGATACTCTAAATGCCAGTTAAAACAAGGTATAACTGTTCACTATTTGCATAGATTTTCTTACAAATTAAGCAGCAAAATGTTTAGGTGTAAAAACAGTGTTTAAAGGAGTGATTTACACGAGCTTCATATATACAAACATAATTCAACTAAATTAAATTGTATTCCATATGCTTTGAAAAGATGCACACATTCAAGTATTACTACAAAAACAAATGATGGGTGGTTAATATCAGAACAAGTATTTGACTTCAAATTTTAAGTAACTCTTCCGGTATTATCAATTATTAATAATGATGATGCTACAAAATTTAAATGTCTATCGCATGATCAATGACATTTTGACTTACATAAACATGTGTGTAAAATCAAGGACCTTAAGTTCCTTGATAAAATGATAACTAAATTCAATTTAGGGGATAATTTCTTTCCCAATTTTACAATTACATTATCATCAGATGATATCTGTATGATGATGTAATTGTACCATTGGAAATTTCAAACACACATACTCCAGAATGGATTGTGTTTTTTGACTATGGTATGTTTAATAGTTGTATATTCTATGTACATGTAGTCACTCATTAAATGTACAATAAGTGTTGTGTATATATAAAAAGGTCTTTATTTTGCCACACTGAGAAAACAGTATTGAATTTTGAAGTAAGTTTTGATAGTAGACTGAATTCCATGTAGTACATTTGTATTTAAAAAGAGCAGAAATACATGTAATCAATTTGTATGTTATAAATCAGTAAGTTATTCTTGTTACATCCTTGTTGCAGCCACTGGCATATCGATGAGTATTAAAATGGAAGGGGGGGCTGATGAAAATTTCAAGTAAGAGGGGGTGCTACGAAGCAACTTTTAACTAAGTGAGCATAATTTTTTGGCTCAGAAAATTTTCAGCAGTGTGGAGGCGGGTGGGGAGGGGTGCACATGCTGGGCATCTCCATTGACATGCCACTGGAGATCATCAACAAAAGATTAAATTGTGTTCATGTAACTAATGAAAAGTACATACAGAATATCAATAGTGACCGAGTACTTGTTTGTCTTAGCATTGCCAGATCGCGCTATTACATGTAAACAATACTATACAAACTGAATCATAACTACATAAATTATTTATATTACCAGTTAATTATATAAACAAATCAAGAATTTTTCTGTTCAAATCCTGTATAACATACAAATCTAAATTTATTGTCAATAATGAGGTTACAACTTTGTTATACCTGTAGTTATTCTAACACAATTTCTCTTCCAAAATGCGATTTTATCAAAGTTTTATACCGCCCTGGGTACTTTCAAACAAATAAATATTATATTTGTCAGTACCTAATGTTAATTCTAGCATATTTAACATACAAAATCAGGTAATGAGATTAAAAAATCTTTAAAAAAAAAAAAAATTATCAGATCTAATTCTAAAAAGTACTTTAATTTACATAAGCTCCTTGCTCGTAAATTTTTTTTCATAATTACAGAATGAAAGACAAAAAATAAAAGCAGATAGTGCATGGACCAGCCATAATTGAATGCTCAAACATCATTTTTTTTCCCTCCGCACGGAGTGCAAATTGTGAATCCAAATTTTGGAGTATAAAAAATAGATAAATTAAATAAGGTGTGTGTATAGAATGAACAGCAATCAATATACACTGTGTTTTTTACAATTATTGAAATGGTTTAAACTATTTGGTACATGCATCACTCTGAACTTTTGCTGACCTCAATGAAGGAATAAGTTGCTGTAGTTACTGGAAGCATAAATTTAACTGTGGATAACGCAATAACTACTGTACATGGCTAAATACCACTTCATATTCCAAGAGTATTGAGAACAGATTGTGAATGGCAGCAAATAGAAAATTCATGTAATCATTATATTAAACCATTGTATGGTAATCATATCTATAGCAAAAATATTCTTATACTTGATTTCATATATATATAATACAGTATTTATTAACCCGCATCAACGCTAACTTATAGGTTAATTTTTTAAGATTTTAAAGAGTATGCATTTGTAAAGAGAAAAAAAAATCATATCTCATTTAGATATACTGTTGTTATATATAAGTGATGAATTTTTCTACATTTTCAATTCCTTTTCTCCAAATTTAAAGGACGTTTTAACTCTTGTACATTTTCACTGCTGTAACTTTTACACGTCCAGACAAAATTTAGTTTGTGTCGTCAGATATCCACAATTACAAGAAGTTTATTTTTTTTAACTGAACATTTTACAGAGAGTTGAGATTGAAAATAGTTGGGGACTAATATACAGGCTCCCAAAGGAGTGCATGAGCATAGTGTGAGTCATGGAGTTTATTAGCGAACTTTACAAGATTTTGTGAGAGTGCAATAACCAGACTTTGGCATCCATCCATGCTAGCCCATGTATAACTACTACTGTAGTGTAGCAGAGAAACATACTTATTTAATTTTTGATTGTTTAATGATTAACTAAGATTTCTTTTACTTGAATGGCTAAAACTAATATAATTAATTATTATCATTAATAATAATAACTTAGCAGTGAAACAGTTATTTAATTTTTTGAATGATTAATGTTTCTTTACTTGAATGTCTAAAACTATTATTATAATTCATTATCATCATTATACTAATATAATTAGCAATAATCATTGTGTGGTTTAGTGAAATGCATTACCAAGAAGTACAACATTGAATGTTATGTTTGTATTCTGCACAGTGGTAGCTCCAGAGATTTGCAGAAAAGGGGGGGGGGGGGTCTGACATATCTACCAAGGGTCCAAACCAAGTGGTTGACTGAGCATTGGCCCTGGAAGAAAAGTGCCTGGTACCTACCTAACATGGGAAGAGTTTTTATGGCTTAGTATGGCTTTTACACCACAATATTAGGGAACTCAGCAATCAAAATAATGTTATGTGGATAGGCAAATTAGGGAGCTTTCGATTGCACAATGACGGTAGGACGTAATAACGTCAGTAAAAGTCATCTGAGCATGCGAGAATGTTAAGGTCACCTCGTCGAGTAGATTCTGGAACGTAATTTGGCCAAATCTGCGTATGCAGAGAACATATGATGCCAGGTAGGATGGTCACGCATGAGTGATTCCGTTCGAACGTCGCGTCGCACAAATCAAAAACTCCCTATTATTATTTTTGAAACAACGAACTTGCTATGTCGTTGGACAAAGGGGAGTCCAGGCCATGACCTCCCGCTGGCGCCACCATTGATATTGAACAGTAGATGAAAAATACATATTTGTTTAAATTCTTCATTCATTTATACAGGGGATCATGTTTAGTATCAATTTCTTCTATTCTTATTATAAAGCAAGGACCACACGTTTTTGCAATTTTTGCTTCTAAGCTGCGCTAAGACATACTCAGTCTAAAATCGTCTTGTGCACGGGAGCTGGGGCAAGGTGTGAGAGGTATTATGTATGTGACACGACACAGATAGTCATAAGGAAGATATCATAGAATTTTGAACATATTAAAAAAATTCCTAAGTAGTCCTAAGTGTCATAGCGCAGCTTATCGTAAGCAAAATCGTAATGTGTGAGACCAGCTCATGTCTGAATTTGGCCCACATCAATCACACAAGTTGGGGAGGGGACGGATGATTGTACCTTCATAAATCTTTGCTTTTTATATACACAACCAACTTTACAGTAACTTCTACCTTCAAAAGTACATTGGTTGTGTAAAGTGAGAACCAAGATGTATTTATAGTACTATTTGTGCGAATTACCAAGTTGCAACCTTATTCAAAAATTCCAGGTCTTTCTATCACTAATAGTATTATGTGTAGTCATTGTAGAGCAGTTGCAAAAAGCCTTGCGGATATAACTATTAAATCTTATTATCTCTTATTAAAGAACCTACAACATGTTTTTAAATATATTCCATTCCAAATGATACTTGCAAGATTGAATGGATATAAGTTAAGCTACAGTAAGCGTCATCTAGACAATATTGTGTTCCTGTTCCCATAATTAAAAATTACTATTTTCTGAATTTTACTTACATCGACAAAGATTTGTTTAGCATTATGAAGCATTGTGATGTCAAATCATGGTTTTAAATGGGGTGTTTTTTTGATTACATATATCACTTGAAATATACTATTGCACGGAAACTAAGACCTGTCTCTTATACACATCTTATTGTGCGTATTATATATATTGTGTGTATATTAATAATAGCTGGTAGTTGAAACATATTGATAGATATGAATATATTATATGTCTGAATAATGATATAAACATTACAAATAACATAATATGTACATAATATAACATTATAGAAATATAAACATTATATAACAATAATGAATAATGATAAAACATTACAGCACATAGATTTACATACTTAGTTCTAGAATTATATATAAACCAACACAACAATATATAAACATTATAAAACAAACTGAATTAAAAACTAGCATAATAGATTAAATAAAATAAATCTGTCATGTTTCCTGTAGCTCCATAATATTATTTAATTGTTATTTAAAATGTAAGCAAATGCTGAAAGTGTATATCAGAAAAATGCCACAGGTAAAGGCAGCTACACACTGCACCGATGGTCGCAGCCCGACACGATTCCACAGAGAAAGCAAAGCAATGGGCTTATTTGACTGGTTCATTTTTTTGTTGAGTATTATTTTCATTTGACTGGGTCATAAAATAGACTTAGTTGACAACGAAAATTAACGTAAACCAAGAGTGTGTTAATCAGCGTTAATTTATCCATGCGACCAAGACAAACATGGCCAATTGGTCAGTTTAGCAACAACATTTAAATTTCAGAAAATAAAAATTATAATATTTACCCAAGTCAAAAAATAACTGTAGGCTAACAGACTTCAAAAACTGGATGAAAACACTTTTTAACGAAAAACCTGTACTGCCACAATCCGAAGCAACCTCCATTACGCCACTGAGGTATTATTTAGGAGATCACTCGGCAACAGATCCCTTTGACGCGACAAACTAATGTGTTCCCCACTTTTGGATCATGCTCATTTGCATAGCTTTGCGTGTGCTGAGCTTTTCTGAGTGATCTCAATAATACCTCCGTATCGCGGTAACTATAAAGCCATTTTGTTTTGTCAAGTATTTGCCAGTTTTCTATTCGACTGGTTGTCTTCGTTAAGTAGGATCTTACCACTGCGCAAGTGGGCGTGGTTTAATGAAGAACGACCAGTCAAATACGTCCAATGAGTCTCGCTCAACAGATCTTTTTAAATAAAAATCCTCTCAGTCTGACATCGACAATCAGCAAACATTGTTGCGTCATCAAGCGCTATGAAGAACGAAGATGGTTTTATCGGCGACGATCATACGACGCAGAGTGTGCAAAGCCTTACCATTTTGACCATTTTTTAACAAAGTAAACTATGAAATATATACATAATAGGCCTATACATTGTGACAAACAAGGAGTTCAAATCACACTCTAACCAGCCATCATAACACTTACAGTATACAAGATTTTATAAGCATTAGTGTAAATAATTTAAATTTCTTACCTATAAATATAAGTTCAAACTTAAGCCACCATAGCCTACACCTTTTCCAAACATTTTAATAATCTATATTTGTGGTTTGAATTTAAATTTTTTAATTATAAGCAATCTGAGATTTTCAAATCACAGGAATATAATATATATATATATATATTATCAATTACTTAAAGAATTTTTTATTTGGTTTTAGGTTAATATATGTGAGTAAAGATTTGTTTTCTGTACATTTTACTCTAAAGTAACAGATTTAAAAAAGTTCCACTGCTATTGATCAAGTTGCCAAACATTTATAACAACAGCTTCGTTACATTAATTATTTACTCTCAATTTAATTTTCCACTTTCAGATTCATATTTTTAAAAAAGGCTCCAAGCTACCAGAAACCCAAATGTACAAATGTGTTTTTTGACATAATTTTTGAATAAAAAAAAAAAATCATTTTTAGAAGTAAATAACCGCATTTGAAATCAATGTCAATCGATGTTGACTTTTTTTTTATTATAAGCAAAAAAGAGTGCTTGCAGAATAAATAAGGCATATATGTACACAAAATGTGACGTGTGGCTTTGTTAAATATCTTTGAGGATATCATCTGGTGTGTAGTATTGCCCTTCTTTCAGATACTCTTTAAGACGCTTTGGTAGTGGCAGTAAGTCTATGTGATCAAGTCTTGCATGTTTCCTTATCACAAACCGACACATGTGCTGCAAGGAACGTGCTTTCTGGAATCGTGAGATCTGGTAAAGAAGCTGTACTGGCGCTGGGGGAAATCCAGGAAGCCGTGGACGGAGAAAATATAGGTAACGTCCATTACGGGAATGTTGCATGGCTTCTTCAATGAACTCCACAATGGATGCACTACCGTGAGAAGTCGGCTGCGACCAGAAACTAAATTTACCTGCAAATAAAATGGACCATCAATCAGTATTTAATGTTTCCAAATGACAACCAAAATGAAATTGCTTTGATATAAAATGATGGATAGTGTTGGATTCGCATAGTGACAATTACTGTACATATTTAAAATGTTGCAGTAGTTCCATTTTGTTTTCATGACTGTTATTAATTAGCTATAAAAACAAGTGATAACTAGACTTACTATGCCCGAACTGGACTCTTCCTCATTGACATAATGAGAAGAACTGATGTTAAAATTATAAAGTAAAAGTACATTTTTAAAATGTTCATGAAAACAACACACAAGAAACGGAAAAAAAACAGAACAGAAACAATAGCTTTCCCGTTGTCACAGAAAAGCCAATGAGTTGTAGATGGGACTCACCGTTGTGGTGTTCTATTCTTGTGTGATGGGTTGTGCCTTGTGCACGGAAACTAAGACTGAGGATATGCCGATCATCAGAACTGTCTCTTACAAGGAATGATCCATCTGGAGTGTTCTCAAGCCGTGACTCTGCATCATCCCAGCTCATGGGTCCCCAATACCATCCACACTAAACAACACAAAACATTGGGAGTAAGTTTCCACACTATAGCAAACATATCTTTATATATATTAACTTCATTAATTTAGGTGTTATTTTCAAATGAGTACAAACATACTTTTGTGTCATCCCTCCCAGTGGCAGATCCAGAAATTCAAAACAGAGGTTCAGAAAGTCAATTTTAGAGATGGAGGGACAATATCACCCCCAACCACCAGACCACAGTTGCCCTGGAATGTGTGAAAATATAAGTTGATTCTATGACTTATAGTCACACAATATTATTATATTCTTTAACGATACTGACATTGCCTTAATATTCATTATGTTCTTAGGTCAGCGAAAACTTCACTGAACTTTCATGGGCCCCACCATGTTTTCATCACCCAGGTTCCACAACTCGTTAAGCCAATGGAGCTAATAAAAAATCAATATCTCAAGTCATTAGCTTTCTCAGTTGAAAATTAGTATACAGAAATATTTTCCTTGTCAATCCCTTATAATGTTGTTATTCATTGCATAGGCTCTTAAATAAGCTGGTAATCAACTTAAATATTTTTGTAATAAAAAGGTTAAAGTAAAAAATGAATTGTTTTGATTCAGTATGTTTCACATTTGAAACAATTCTAATTTTAACTGAAATTTTGAAGTGCATTTTTCAGATTTCACCAGATAGTGCAGTTGCATAATTAAAGCAGTATCTCTCTCACTACTGTAGATCCCATCCATTGCTATTCTAACCCACGATGACCTAATTTCCTAGCAAGACCTGATCTGAATCATAGCTCATATGTGAGCTCATCTAAATACAAAATGAACATATGCTTGAGTACAGTTGCATGTGTATCTTACATATTGGTTTCCAGATTGGTTTTGGCAGACCTCACATCACACTATGGTAAAACATTTCAAAACTGACTTCATCTGTCAGTGGAAGGCTCCAAAAATTATGTTACTACCTCCACTAAAAATGTCAAAATAAATTCACACTGTTCTAGTTTGAGACTGCAAGTAGTAGCAGCAGGTGATAAAGGACACCTGGTTGTATTTAAATGGCAAGGAAATTAAGATACGCACACTTACAGGTGGCTGTAAAATACTTGCGCGAATGAGTCAAATCTAAGTTAATGCTGAAAGTTTAGGCAACAGGGGCATAGCCATCATATTTGCCTCCCATAAGACACCCTTGTAAGCTCCTAAATTCAGATGTCTGTGTTTTTTACCTGATGTTCTTTAAATAGTTACTCGTATTTACTGAAGTTTCATAACCTACATTTAAGTTTCCCCTTGGACTTATTGCAGTAATGGATAGAGGTCATAAGTACTATATTGTGTGATAAAACAAAACACAAGTTACTATAAATAGAAAAAAAAACAATTCAGGATGAAATACACAGCTCAAACCATTTTCAACAATGCTTGACATTGTTTGATATTGTACCTACAACTATTATGCAACATTCTATCTGTCTATTGAACATTTGAAAAGAAAAAAATAATGAAAAAATTACACACTATCAAATTAGGCAGCTATTCCCAATAAAAAAGCAGCTACTCCCAATAAAAAAATAATTAAATAAACAAAAGTATCAAATTTATTTTGAAAAGTAAGAATGGGCGATAATTTGACCTGATCTTATGATTAAAAAAGATTAACAAATTTTAAGTATCTATTTTTTGCATGAGTTTGAACTTTGTCACATGTATTTTCAGCATTTTATGTAATGTTTTACTATATTGCGTATCAAATAATGCAAATGAATAATTTTTGTTCTTTCATGCCATAATACTTACATCACTGATTTTGCGTAGACTTGACGTAAATTCTCCCCTTGTTTTTTCTGCCTCTTCGTTGACAATGACATCCCTTTCTGGTATTGCTGGGGGTACATCATTGTCTGAAACAAGAGGGAAACAATAAGCACATGGCTCAAGTGCTGCACATAACAACAGCAACAACAGTAACAACAGTAACAACAACAACAACAACAACAACAACAACAACAACAACAACAACAACAACAACAACAATATAGGTTTTAATGTAGCACCCAATAATAATCTCTCAGAGCGTTATTACACACAAAAATGTAATAAATGAAAAAAGACAAATTAAATATTAAAAAGATGCTTTTTTAAAACTAATTATGGTCAATATTACTATTTTATTTATTTCTAAAAAATACATCAACACAAAAGTTGTAAGGCTAAACGTGTTGCGAGAAGACAGTGAGAATGATGTTGAATAAAGCCTTTCTGTTTATGGAGTGGATCAATGGATATTGTCGCAACACCTCATTATTGTTTAATAACACGGTGTCAAAGTTAAACATACATAAGCCTTGTTCCGACAAAGTTACACCGGTGATATCGTAGTTATCAAACAAGCGCTTGTTATAAGGCTGACACCGACTGTATGAACGGGGTCACCTGATACAAAACAAGCGCTTCACCCCGAAAGCTAACACTGACAAATGACCGGATTGGCAAGGCTCTCATCCGACAGAACTTTCTGTTAATTGACTTGCCACATGTTGATTGCAATAACATCAGTAGCTTGAACACGGTCTCGTTTTCGAGGCAATTCTAGACCTAGTTGGTTCATAATATCAACCAAAGCATCTTTATAATTACCTTTTTAACTTTATAATTGTCAAAATAATCCAAATAAAACATTACAGGACAAATTTATATTATTACCGTTCGTGGTAAACTTCATATAAATTTTCATTCAATTTTCATCTTTTTTTGGGAAATCAGCAAAGTAGCGTGGTAGTTCGTTTGCTGTGTCTAAAGATACGACTGAACGAGATACGGTGAACGCTGGTGAGATACTGTACATACATGATTTTGAAATTACAGCTAATACAGTAACCTTATCTTTAGCCATTGCAATTCACACATTCTAGCAAGAACAACCATGAACAACGTTCATACCCGCATATTACATTTGGAGGCTCAGGTTAAATGCTGCCGAAAATCTCCTAAATGTTAATAGGTAGGCTTAGGTTAGGTGAAAAAAAAAAAAATTAGAGTGTTTTATTTCGCTTTTTTTGGAATGTTCTACCAAGTGAAGATGAAAACATTGGATGTTAAACATATTTTGCCTTTTATTTGTCGATAGTTGGGATGGCCTACTGCCCACCCAATTCAAAGCAGGCCTAGCCCAGGCAGGCCTTCGCCTAATGTAATTTCTGTTTTGTCGTCTTTTATTGAAACATCATCATGAGATCAATAGAAATAATTTTAATCTTCAACATTTATATATTAGTGTATAAGCGCTATAACTATCCGCTATAACTCTCGTGTAGACATACGATAAAATTTGATGCAGCCTTGACTGGATTTCTCATTAACTTGCATCCGATAGGAGTGATCGTGAGAACATGGCTATAAAAGGTTAGGAGTGATTAGTTTGTCAGAACAATACATAGCATACAGTAATTATCTAGCCTCGACTTGACTGAGTCCAGATTTATTTTGAGTAAAATGTTGTACTGTACTCATAAAGGTAGGCCTAGTTGAAGTATGAAATATTTTGGCAGCAGAATCATTGACATGTTCTGTGGCCTGCTATGAGGCAGTTGCTAACTAACCGCTAACTTGCAGTCCTGACAATTGGCAGTCTAGTGTGTGTTCCTGGTTATCAAAGGTCACTTAAGCATATCAATGGCTTTCTCTTGACAGATCCATTTCATATAACCTGTTAATTCATGTTTAAGTATTAATCTGGCTACATAATAATGCTTGGAATTTGGGAGATTTATAAACTTTTTTAACACAACCTAAATTGTTATCTCTTATTTTCAAAACTATATTATTGAAGAAAATGTATTGCGCTAACTATGATGTTGGCAAATATAATAACGTACAAGCATTAATGCTACTAAATATAATGCTACAAAATGTGTAATATGAATGTTGCTATTCTGTAGTACATTATAAGTAGATCCTGTATGCTACTCAGCATTTTATGGATGATGCTACTCCTAAGCAATTATTGTTTCTTGGACAGTATCATCCAATTTTATGCCACACTGTTTCTCATTGCCATACAGTACCAAATTCTCATCAAATCTGATGCCAAATTGTTTATCACTGTCTTACCAAATCTCATCAAATCTCATGCCACATGATTTCTTGCTGTCATACCAATGCTCATCTAATCTCATGCCACACTGTTCCTCATTCTCATACTTGCATTCATTCATATACCACATTTTCATCCAATCACATATATTATCTCAAATTCTTACCCAATCTCATGCCACATTATTTCTCCTACAACCTTCTCATCCAATTTCATGCCAGATGATTTCTTACTGTCATATTATATTTTATCTAATCGCATGCCACAATGTTTTTATTCTCATACATCTTATCTCATGTATACATTTTCATACAACATTCTTATCCAATCTCATGCCACATTGTTTTTCATACAACATTCTCATCCAATCTCATGCCACATTATTTCTCCTACAACCTTCTCATCCAATCTCATGCCAGATGATTTCTTACTGTCATATTATATTTTATCTAATCGCATGCCACAGTGTTTTCATTCTCAGACTTCTCATCTCATGTATACACTTTCATACAACATTCTTATCCAATCTCATGCCACATTGTTTTTCATACAACATTCTCATCCAATCTCATGCCACATTATTTTTCATTCAACATTCTCATCCAACCTCATGCCACATTGTTTTTCATACAACATTCTCATCCAATCTCATGCCACATTATTTTTCATTCAACATTCTCATCCAACCTCATGCCACATTGTTTCTAATTCTCATACCACATCATCATTCATTTCCTTGCAATTCCCACATCCCATTCATGTAGCACATTCTTCCTTGTAAATTTCCTGAACCAGGAAGCAGTTGCAATATACAATATATAACCTGTAGGTAAGAATCTTTTACCATTTCAAAAACATGAAATCATGTTTTACTACTACTGTACAAAGGACTATAATTGAAGTTTTATCTGTAAAATACAGTTCTTATTTTATCTTTGAGGAAACACAGTTCCCAAAAATTAAAAAACATTTTCAAGATGAAGTAAGCAAAAACAACCAGTGATAATCTACTCTAATTATTATTGTTATAATATTATTTCGAATATATAGCTATAAGGTGTAAAAAAGTCAAAGGTTATTAAAAGACTGGATTATCCATCTATGTTATAACCCAATTTAAATTTTAAGTATTCTTGTGAGGAAAATGCCTGTTTCAACCTCAAGCATAAATAATAAAATTTAAAGATTTAGCATTTCACAGATGCATGCTGGATATTCTTTGAAAACACTTACATTGACTGGTAGACAAATTAACAAGCTTCACAGTAAAAAAAAAATATATAAAGTTGGGGCCTACTGAAGTTCACAAGTTTAAGATAAGATAATGGAGGAAAGAAATAGCAGATTTATTATCAATCTGATCAATTTTAATTGAAATCAATCGAATAATGGCTTTATACTATATTTTAGGAATATCCAAAAAAGCTGTCTATCTTTATCTTGTTTTCTTTTTTAGTTCTTTAAATTCATTTATTGTTTTGATCATGTAAATTATATCTTGACATAATTGATACAGTATGAATTTCACTACAACAAAGCTGAGAAATACAACAGTTGTTATTGTATAGCACACAATTAACACCTTGTAGTCTGGTTACAAAGCTACATTAATAAAGCCCACTGCATGCTCCATTTAACAACCGATTATGTCTTTCACAAACAATGTTAACTTCACACTTAAAATCAATATAAATCAATAAACACATTTATTAACTGGTTTGTAGCAGTACATAGATTCCACATTTTTCACCTAACTTTATACAGTTAGAAATATTAGATTATGATCATACTTCTATTTTAATTCAGCTTTTGCCAAGGATGATAGGAAAGTTTTCATTATAATCTTTGATCTTATTCATCTGACCTATGGTTAAATGAATAATATTATTATATTTTTTTTGCATTTAAAAATATTTTGATTAATTTTAACATTAAACATGCAGATTGGATAATAAAGTAAAATTGATTTGGATTACAGGAATTTTATCTATACTATTTCTCAGTATTAGCAACCTAAACTCCAAAAGACTGACTTTAAGTATTTAAAGTCTTTAAAGACATTTTGTTTAATTGCTTTGTTTTGTTTTATTCAGTTTCATAAGATTATCAACAGTACAATGCTGAATGTCATTTAAACTAACTGATCAGTCAGAACAGGACCTGGAAAACGTGCATGTCCTACAGACACAAGTGTTGTCCCCCAAACACACGTTTGTTTACTGTAAGATATTACTTTGTGAGGCCATAGCAACAATCTAAACAGCTGAGCGTAGCGAAAAGATTCATTACATAAAGAAAACAAAATGTTACCAGCGAGCTAGATAAGGTGAGGTTTCATCCTAAAATTGAAAGTTACAAAGCAACAATGTAATGACAATAACACCAAAAGGACTAATGAGCAAATACTGTATTTGAAACATCAGAAGACTATATTCATTACAAGTACTTAGAAATCTTGATTTTTAAATTATAAGTATTTAGCATTATATCATGACACTGTATTTATGAAATCATGAATCAAGCATTTAAATAAAATTGTATTCACATGTACCGTATATTCCGATGTGTAAGCCGCACCCCTAAATAGGATACGAAATATTATGATTTTTTGTGTATAAAGTCGCGCACCTATTTTTAATCTCCAAACTGTTCACATCATTGGCGTAGGTATGGGCAGTGCAGCCAGTGGAAAGTACTATGACCTGGGAGTATTAGGGGCCTATTCAATAGTTTTTGATAATTATAAAATAAATGTTTCCTACTTAATTTTCAAAAGAAATAAATAATATAGTCAGCGAGCCCCCAATA